ATAAAATGACAACATTGATTTAACTTATGTATTACTTTTTTTTTGTATATAATAGAAGAGTTTTTGTGCTAAAATTGTTGAATGAATATGATATAATATGAACAATTCAAGTTATTACTTCATCAAATATCAACGTGTAGTGTTCAATTATCAATCGATTGCGAAACACATCGAAAGAAGGATGATTTGGCCTTGTTTCTAACATAGTGCATCTTTCAAGGGTAGAATATACATATACTACATAATTTTATTTATCGTGCTTTTGCTAAGAACAGAATAGTAACGAAACAAAGAAGAGAAGAAAAAAAGGCGACTCCCTAAGATTGATCCTTTGCGTCCTCATGAATGCAAACGTGTGAGTGTGCCACAATCATATACATAAACTATTTTTTTAACAGCTAAACATACAATGTTGAAGGAGAGAAAAAAAAAAGAACAGAATGAGAAGAAAAAATCGTGATCAAATTTTTCGAAAGAACGTGTGATCGTATACATTTGTCTTTATACCAAAAAAAAAAAGAATGACAATGATACAATTCTAAATCATAGATTGAAAATCTATTGTTGTTAATCAATGATACAGATCCTTTTTTCCTCAGGTTTCTTTTTTCTTCTTCTTCTCTATTAGTAAAGTTATTCAACATACTTATATTAAACATTATCGAGGTAAAAATATTATTTATTGCCTGACGAAAAAAAGGAAAATAAAAGGTGCAGAAGACCGAGTCTCATTCGAGTGTTACCTACTAATGGATTGTTAGTAGTAGGAATCGATTTTGTTTATAACATTCCAGATAGAAAAACGACGATGTTGAATTTATTTCTTCTTTTTTTTTACGTATTCCTGCTTTCGTTCGTTCTTCATCACTTTTTTTTTCACCGATGAGGACATCAAATAATGCAACGACAGTTCTAATACTATATATATAATGTTGATTTTTTCTTCTCGTATACAACAAGTACCGATTAACTTTAAGAATTAAATGGCCATGAAGAAATAAATGCAAATTATTTTTTTTTAAAGAAAAAACTACTACTTAATTATATAAATATATAACTTCATTTTTTTTTCTAATCATCTAGATGTTTTGAAATATATAATTACAATATTATCATCAGTTATTCAGACAATATTATAAAATTTCTTTTTGTAAGTCTTTCATATATATATATATTATTTATCATTGGTTTTATTTGTCAAAAAGATATTATAGACATTTAAATATGACATCAAATACTGTGCCTATCTATCGACAGGGACGTAAATTTTATGTATCTACTGAAGAATATGCTCGTATACGTTCGGAAGATCGACGACAGCGTCGTACAGCTGTACAAAAATCTCAAAATTTACCAATATCGAAATATCAACAAACGTCTATGAGAATGCCTTCAGCATCTTTTTATAGTTCGATTCATCGAACCAATTCAAATCCATATGAACAGTTTTATGAAGTACTTAAAAAACCACATTTACCTGCTAATTCATTAATAAATGCTGTTAATCGATATGAACCAAATAGATTATCTCGTTCGATGTTAAGACGTTCTGATGATCAAAATAATTTATTAACAATTCCATTGACAGCCTCAAGAAAATCATCATTAAGTAATATTCGTTCAAGTTCTTCCGATAAAATACTTGATCTACAAAGGATTTCATTACCAATATTTGATACTGATAACGAAGTCAAACAATCACTTTCAGATGAAATTGTACAACCATCAACATTATCACCACAACAATCACCAAGTGTATCACATCGACCAATTTCAGATTATGGAATATCTCCTATAACAGCAATTTCTATGACACCTACTGATCAGACACATACGCAAACAAATGCATCAAAATTTATCAATTATTTAACTCGAATGAAACATTCAAGTTTAAATCCTTCATCACAACCATCATCACCAGCTATCTCCGGAACTGGGTCATTTCTTGAAACAGGTATCCAAGGTTCTGATCATGGTTATAGTGTACTTGGTTCATCATTTCGACGTGTTGGTACTGGTCTATCATCATTAGTAACTCGATCAGCATCTGACAACAATAAAAATAGGAATCTTCAGGATAATCTAACAAATGATCCATTGTCAGATGATAATAATTCATCTATACCATCATCAACAGTAATTCAACAACAACAACAACAAAAGATTGATTTAAATCCTTATCGACAATTAGAATCTATTGGTGGAACAGATGAAGATTCTGGTCAACAACGTGGTTTATGGACACGTTCAACACATCGTAGTCAATCAACTGATGGTTTAACAGAAAAGAAACGTGTTCGTTTTGCTGATATGGAAGGTTTGACATTAGAATTTCGATCTGATAAAAATCGAATATCATCATCAGTCAATAATCAATCATTAACAAGACGGCCACATATAAAATATCCGAGTGATTTACGAGGACGACCACGACCTTTTTATAATACATTAAATCAAACAACAACAACAACAACAACAACTAAAACTAATGAAAGTAAACTTGCAACTGATGTATAATTCTCAATATATATATATATGTATGTGTGTGTGTGTGTCTATGCAAATGTTTTTTTTTAATAATTAGAATGAAAGGAAATCTTTTATTTATAAGAGTATTTTTAACTATAATACAACTTCTTTGTTTACGAAATTGAGAAAATATATAATAATAATAATCAGTTCAATTCTTTTTTCAGAACTTTGAAGAAGTTGTATCGTCATATTCGTATTTATTGGTTGATTGTCTTATAGGTAATTGATATGATTCGTATGATCTTTGAGTAAAATTTGTCGATTGTACTCGTTTTCCTTTTGGTAATTCTGGAATAGGAAGTAATTCTGTAAATGGATTCGATGTTGAGGCTTGTAATGTTGGTATGGTCACATTATAATTATTATATGTTTGATTCGAGTTATTGCGTTGATTAGTATCAATAACTATAAAAAATATTGTTTGATAGTTTATAGATCTTGTTAAAAATTCTCACAAATCGATGACTCACTATTTTTCAAGACATTTGATATGCGCACCTTTCGTTTCGTAGTAGGAAGTATTGCTGCAGTACTATCATCATCGTCGTCATCATCATCATCATCGGTAACATCTAAAAGTCCCGACTCTTTATTAATGGTAGGATTTGAATTAGACGCAGATATACGTCGGCTGCAGAGACATAATAAGAAACTCTAATTATAGAAAAAAAAAGTTAAATTTGTTTTTACGAAAATGATAATACAATATTTACAATGAGTATAAGAAAAGTAACACCAGCTAAACTAATGCTTGTTAAGAATAAAACAGTATATAATACTCGAGAAACACAGAAGTTGTTGCTAAATAAAGGAAAATCATCGGGATCTAATGAAGAAAACAAACATATGTAATAAAAAAAAAATAAAGCAACTTACTTTTACAAACGTTAGTCATCTGTTTTTCAGGTACGTCGTTCGAGTATTCACTGAGTACTTAAAAATATGATTCGTAAAATTTTTTCATAAAACTTTCATTAGCAATAACTTCATAAAAGACAGTAACAAATGGAATAATCAATAAAGTGTTATAACAACTCATAGTATAACAAATTTCTCTCTTTAGAATAGAGAATAATGTCGTTCTTTACGAATACTTTTATCTCTAGTAAACAAAACGACATGCTTTGTTTTACTAACATACATTAAAACAATGAGACAAAAGACTCATCTTGAAGGTTAAACAACAATTGGACTTCGGTATATTTTTCATCTTTATTTCTTTCTTCTAGAGCATTATTGTTGCATATTTATAAAACGAATAGTATGATCTTCTACATTCTTTTTTTTTATCAAAAAATAAAAGTCAGTTAATTTAATAAGTTCATTCATTAATAGAAAAAATTATAATAATTATTAGAATCAAAAATAATCGCTGGGAAGATTAGATGTATTCGTTTGTCCTTGTTTATACTTAGATCGATCGTGAGATGATTGACGTTGTTTCATTTTAACCATATTATATTCAGGCTGTTTTTCCAGTACATTTGCTTTTACACGACTAGATTTAGTTATTGTTGTTCGATTCAATGGAGTTGAATTATTACTAAATTTCTCTTTCACAGAAGTATTTTGTTGTCGAATAGGTGATGATATCGATGAATGTGCAGATTCTATAAAGCAATCAATAAATTAGAAAGAATAAGTTTACAGATCATACCAATTTTACTCGGTGATTTCTACAAAGAAAACATAATATTATAAGATAAAACGATAAATATTAGAGTTTTATTTTATACTACCATTTCGTGTTGTGGAATATTATAACTTTTTGTAATGGGACGTCCTTTCTTCGAAGTATATTTACGACTAAATAACATATACGATGCAGTTCCCTATTTTTTGTGAATATATTACAATTTTAAATTATTTTCTTAGAAAAAAATAAATATTTACGAGAACTCCAATAAATGATACAATACTTAGAATCAATGCAGTTATTATAACACTACCATTCTCAATAGGACTTATACAGGTATTACCAAAAGGAAATGCACCAGGAAAGCAACCATTAGTATTACCGCTCGTAGTAGTTGTATCAGTAACACTCTCGTTACCCGTAGTTATTTGCATAGTAGAAGTCGATTGTGTTGCAGTCATTGTTTCTGTAGTCGTTATTTCTGTCTTGTACGTAGATAAACCAGTTGTGACAACTGTTGTTTCACTGCTAGTACTAGGATTTGGATCAACTGAAGTACCTGCACTAGGTCCTGGATTATTTGTAGTACCTGCACTAGGTTCTGGATTATTTGTAGTACCTGTACTAGGTTCTAGAGTATTTGTAATATCTGTACTAGTTTCTGGATCATCTGAAGTGCTATTAAATGATGTGTCTGGAGTACTAGCACTCGTGTACGTTATGTTTGATGAATTAGCTGAAGTTTCATCTGATAAAAAAATTGAATCATCTGAATTGGCATTTCTTAAACTTAAGAGGAACATAACAAGAATCATACAAATCGGTAGATTGCATCGATCTCCATGAAAAACCTATTAGAAATCAAAAAAATTTAAGAAATACTTTGAATAACTGTACAGAACTACTAATTATCAATTAACATGCTTACCATTTTTTTTTCGTTTTATAAGAAAAACAAAAGATTTCAGATATTATTTATGATTTATATCATTAACGTTAAAAGAGAACAACAGACAAAATATAAAATAAAAAAATGTCTACAATCATGATAGATAACATGAAAGTCTACATAGATGATATGTCATATTTACATACTTATACACGTAAATAAAAGAAGAGAATAAATGAAGAAAAAAAGATTAGACTGGAATTATTATTTTTATTGTAAATATATCAATAAAATTACATTATAAAATTAAATGAGAAGATAAACAAAAATTCTCATTAACTAATATGAATTCTGCAGACAAAATAGAAGATAAATCCTTTACATTATCGATTTATATTGAAAACAAACTATTGTTTTTGAATTTTTCTTGTTAGTTAGATATGACCTTGCTGTATATATTTCATTATTTTAATTTATCTCCTATATTTTTGTATAGTATATCAAAATTGTAATTATTATTTGTAAATGGTAGTTTTTCCTATAGATTTTAGTTCGTTGTCAACAGTATTGTAAAAAAAACATATTTTGTCGTCTGTGACATTTTTTTTTCATTCTTCTGTCCCTTTTCTTTTTCTTTTCTATCTTCACATTTTTTTTCTCTGTTGTGCTTCATTGCACACGTGCATTATTCATCTATATATGACCGTACAAATGCAAGCAGGATCCATACAGACGACTAATAACTCAAGGTAATAATGCATCAACGCCGAAGTCAGGGCGATTCAAAATCAACAAGTAGCACTAGTGGTTCATTATCATCAATGTCGACAACAAATAATGCTTCGTCAACATCAACAACAGGTCGTGTTAGTATATATTCAATGCGTGAAAAAGTCATATTAAATAAAATGACAAGAATGATGGGAAAATTAGCACCGAATACTGAAACAGAAGTTACTAGTCGATTACATCAAGAAATACCAGCTATTAGACTTGATGGTCATCTTACTTATTGTTTATATAGTACTTTACAAAATATACTTCATTTAAGTGCAATTTATATTGTATTATATCATACAGTTTTTTTGGCTTGATTCAAGTAATTTTAATAAAGAAATTTTAACATCATCTCGAATACTTGAACAAACAAAATATGAACATACACATTTTATTACACTTACAAATCGTTATTATGCTCGAACAGGAACATCAATTAATATAGATTTAATAGATAAATATATTTATGTAGGTTTACTTGGTATTAGTTTAGTTGAATTAATTAGTGCATTTTTTTTGGACATTTAAAAAAAAATTACCAGTTTTAGTACCACGAAATCAAAAACTGAGACAACGTACAAGTAGATTATTAAGTGTAATGATTGTTTTTGTTTATTTTGGATTTATTGCTTGGCTTATATTACATACATTTGTTACACATCAATTATCTAAAACATTCTTTAGTTTAATTTTCGGACATTTAATTATTTTAACACTTCTTGATAAACCAAATTTATTCCAAAATTCATCTGATAATTCGTCTAAACAATCAACAGTATCGCGTAAACAAAATCGTAATTCAACATCATCATCATCAACTTCTTCCATAGCAACAAGTGTAATAGGTCGACCTTCATCTTATCGTTCATCAACGAATACACAACCTCGAAAAGTTAATCCAATCGTTACTACATCATCATCATCATCATCAACAGAAATACCATCGTCTCGATGGTCATCAATAACCGAACAAAAAATTGGTGTACATGAATGTTCAACATTTTATGAACAAGCCAGACAAGAAGCAAATGATTTATGGTCACTTTTTAATCGACGAATAATTCTAAATTTCTATCGAACATTAACTTCATTTATTTTATTTGATTTTATACCAATTAAAATGATGGGTAAAATAAACTTAGAAAAATTCTTCATCTTATTGAGTATCTATTATCATCTCATTCTATATTATTTCAGGTAACAATGTTCGTTCAACAGATAATCAACCATTAAAATTATTAATTCTTATATTTACTTTAAGTACATTTATTACTCATAGTGCTTTTTTATTTCCTGTTAAACTTCAAACAGCTCTTCATCGTATAGCAACACATCTTGGTCAATGGCGATCACAATCAAGTATTCGAACAGATACAATACATGAATGGTCATCCGAATGTAATTCCTATACACGTGGTAGTGTTGTAAAATTATCATCAAATAATCGATATTTTGTTGCTATGGAACACTTAAGTAATGCTGCACATCCACAATCAAAAGCACATGCAATTATCTATCGATTCTTTGGTGATGCAACATATTTTATAAATATTCAAATTGTTTTTTGTATTATTCTTACTATACTTCAATTTATATGGATTATACGTAGTAAATATTGGGAACAAATTTTAATAAGTTGGTTAATAACGTTCTATAGTTCATATCCAATATTTAAAATAACACGTGATAGAATTATACTAAATTTAGTTGAGTATCAAGACGATGTTCAAACAACAACAACATTAAAACAAAAAAGATCAAGTTGAAAAAAATAAACAAAGAGAAAAGAAAACAAATCTGACAATAAAAAATCTATCACACATTCATTGGATGTGGACATGTATACAATGGAGATATACCTGAAAATAAAGAGTTTTTATTTCATTAAGATATTTTTATTTTTTTTTGTTTTACCTGAAAATGTAAAATCAGCTTCAGTCAATCGTGGACTATATTCATTATTGTATATAGTTGTTGTTGATTTTGAATGAAAACTTGCACTATTTGTAGATGATTCATTGGATAAGTCATCCAATAATTTTTTTGTATTTTTATTAAATAATGTTGTTAGTAAATGGTCTAAATAAAGTTTTCTCTTGTTATTAACAAAGTATTCGAATGCTGATCCTGAAATTATTGCTTTATTTGACTAACACTTAATTTACTATTTTATATTAATGAGATTCTGTATTGTCTGCGGTATAGTAATTGAAGATGGTTCAAATAAGGACAGACATGAGAATTAAAACAGAATAATATACCTGAAAATTAGTCATACTAAACCGTTGAAACGTATGAAAAAAGCGTGGTATATACTATCCTTGGAAGTACATAACGAAACTAATTTATTTACATTAACCATATAAAAATCTTAGCGATAGAATCGACATGAGGTCAATAAGTAGACGATAACATAAAAGGTTACAATTTATGATGAGAATCTAACTAACAATTTGTACTTAGAGAATAAGTCTAGTCTCACTTAGACATGACCCAAAACCAAGGGTGTGGGTACTGAGTTTGGGTTTAGTACCCAAACAGTTTGGGTTTGTGCTTTTTTAATCTGTAAAAGACACTATTTTCGATACATTGATGACGATTAAAAGAAGACCTAAACCCAAACTCAAACTCAAACTCATTAAAATAAACCCAAACTCTCAAACGGTTTGGTTTTGAGTTTGGGTCATATCTAGTCTCATTAAAGACAATTAGAAAAAACTAACCTGTTGATTCCATTTTAAATGATAATTGATCTGTATTGTTCAATGATGTATTACATGTTTTTAACGATCCAACTTCTTTAATAAGTTCATTAATAGAATAATGTTCATCAAAAACGATTGGAAGTTTTTTTTTATTTGAACTATTATGTTTCTTTCGAATATATCTTGCACGACAACAACAATAAATAGCAATAATAGAAAAAAGTATAATTAAAGTAAATGTACATAATATAATTACTACTAAAACCATTGAAGGATCTAAATTGAATAAAAGCAAAAAAAATAATTAGTAAGAAAAAGAAACCAAAAAAAATTTATCTTACCATTAGATCTTTCTAATTGATAAAGTCGACTATGTTCAATACCAAATTCATTTTCTGCTATACATGATAAACGATTAAGAGTTTGAGATGATGGAATTAATTTTCGATAATCATGAATTAATTTTGATATGCAAATATTTTCATCACATGTTGTTGATATAGATGATTGATCATTAGATTCAATAGATTGATCATTTAATTTCCATATTATACTCTATAAAGAAACAAAAATTTATCATACAACAACAACAAAAAAGATTCTTTTTTACAAGAATTGGACTGGATGAATAAACATGACATTCAAATAATCGTTTATGTTGTTTAGATTCTTGGATATAAATCAACGGTTTACCTATACAACGAAAAAAATATTTTGTACAGAAACCAAAAAATTCGTTTCCTATACCTTTAATATAAATAATAAAATCATTTTGAATTGTATCAAAACCATCCGTTTCGATTTTATATGAATAAACTCCTTGTTGATCACGTTTAGTTATATTTTCAAGATTAAATAATGATCCTTCAGTTATAATTTCTCCATAACGATACCATATTATTTTTGAACGAGGATATGAATCAACTATACAACGAATTATAGTTGGATTTAATGATGATTTACTATTTAAATCTAAGACAACAATTTTTGGTGGACGAATAATAAATACTGGTGGATCTATTTAAAATAGAAGCAATGAAATATTAAAAAAAAAATTCTATTTGTTATTTACATCGAATTAATAAACGAATACTTGTATTTGTTACACCCACGGAATTTACAGCTGTACAACCAATTGAATGATTATGTACATTTTTTGATAGAGGAATATTTATTATTGAACTTGTCAATGAAGTTAAATCCATTGAATTAGCAAACCATCTAGAAAATAGATTTTCTTATTAGGAGAAATTTTTGTGAAAATATCTATTACCTTAATTTTGGTTCAGGATTACCATGAACAATACAACGGAATGTTGCAGTTGAATTTGCTGTTAATGGATAACGATTTTGAGATTCGATACGTGCTTTTGGTTTATCTAAATTAATATATATATATATATATCAAACTCAGCAGTAAAGGAAAAATGGGCGCTAGGACAGAACGTCGCAGCTCATTTTAGGATTTAAACCGAATTGCTATTAAATTTTTGATATTTGACAGTGTATGTACACACACACTTTCACCCTCGCCAAATCATACGCCTGCGACGTTTTGTCCCGTCACCGAAAAAATGCTCACTCACAATAAACATGTATCTTTGCTGTAACATCTAATTGAGAATTTTGTTTTTCAATATTATAAATCTGTTCACATCGAATAAGTACATTATTCCAACTACTATCTGGATTATTAATTGTATAAATAAGTTTTGTTAAATTTTTATTTGTATCCGTATTTAATTCAAAAGAAAGTTTTGCTGATGATGATAATCCATCTATAATTTCATCATTTTTATATAGAATTAATAATGATGCTGGTTTTGATGGAGATGATAAACAAGTTATATTAGCTGATTGTTCTTGTTTTAATGGCATACTTGGTATTATTAATGTTGGTAAACCATTGGGTGGATCTAATAATAGACCAAAAAAGAGAATTAATGAACCTAAATAATCCTCAAGTATATTCTATACCAATAAGGGTCAATTGTACACGTTCTGAACGTGCTTCATTTGCATTCATTGTTCTCTGTACTTGACATTGAAATACTCCTTCATCTTTATTTGATACATGAATAATCGACAAATTATAATGATCTAAACAAAGAATAAATAAACTAATTCATTTATTTTTATTCAAGGATAAAATAATCTGTATATATTACATCATTCCATAATACACTTGTTATATAAAGAAACTCAAAACAAAATATAGATGACAATACAATAGATCGATAAGAAAAGAAGATGTCATAATTCTCTACTAGTAATTATAATCTATAGTTTAGTTTATATGATGAAAGCATTGAATGAAATTAATTTTTCTATACATACTATGACGTTCATTAACTGATAATCGAAATCTTGGATAGGCTTGATATTGATAAATACTTATTAAACCATCAATTGTTGTTTCATGATGAATTAATTGTGTTCGACCTAATGTACAAAAATCATTCCAACACCATGTTACAATAGCATTGGATTGTTTGGAAACAATACAAGGAAAATGTATTGTTTCACCTGAATATGCATTAATATGATTAGGTCCAACAAGAATTTTTTGATTAATTCTCTGAGCACCTACACTTACAAAAAAAAACATAATATATTCATAATAAAAAAATAATTTACTATTGGCAAATGTATGAACAATTGTATTTGTCGATGATAGTATAAGATATAGAACGATGGATAATGACAGTTGTAGATGATAAATGGCAATCATATTAAATAAACTAAAAGAAAAATCAGCGATGTATTTTGATTCCTATCAGTATATATCATCAAGGATTTCTAGTATGTTTATGAATATATCTACATATTTTCTTCTAATACAATCGTATTTCTACTATAGATTTATATATACATACATACATGCATACATATATATGTATCTCAAATAATGTCCTTCCGAAATATACATATATAGAAAAAGTAAGACAAGACAGAAACCTTGTTCATTTCGTATTGATTTAATCGAATTCCTTGATTGATTAACTATCAGGGGTAAGAAAAAAGAAATGAGAAAGATATAAATGATTTTTATTGATATGTGACGATTCATATTCTATGGGAGGACAATCAAAATTAAATGAAATATGACGATCATATGACTAGGACAAACGACATAGTGTAAATTGCCCTTGATTCACATTCATTTAATATGGTGATAACAGCTAACATGAGACTAGATACATATATATGTGTATTATCATTAACAATGACAATAGTGATGCAAATCTAGATGACTCTATAAAAGAACTTTACTTTTCAGAAGTAATATGAGTTATTCGTAATAAGAAGAAACTGATTGATACCTGATATTCAACTAATTAAGCAATAACTGTTGTTAAATAGTATTACACAAGATGCTCTAACACTTCTTTCATTAAGAAGAGTAGAAAGAGGAAAAAGTGACGAACATACAAATATATGCAATGAGCATCTTATTCAAACAGAATAATAAAGGCAATTAAGAGAGAGATTGGTAAGTTAATCTTTCTCACTCTCTCTCTCTCTCTTGCTTTCTGCGCATTGATTCAATGATTACCTCAATAAGTGTTAGTCTCCATCTTCATCTTAATAAGAGATAGACTCATACTATTGTTTACACACAGTTAGATTCGCCTGTCGTTGCTATAAACATATACAAAGATAACGTTAGATGAACATAGATAACATTGAGCATAGAACAGTATGAATATATAGAGGGTGAAACGTCCATAAAAATAGTGTCATTTGTTATAGGCTGTAAGAGAAAGAAGCAGAAAGAAAAAGAAGGAAAAAAAAGAAGAAAAAACTATTGCATGAGTGTGGTAGTACTAATTCCGAGAGTCACTCGTCACACTTCCTCGATGAACAGATGTGATCAACAAAAAAAAAAAATTGAAAATCAAAGTCATAAAATGTGTCAGAAAAGCAATAGTCATTTCAATATATACGCCACTACGATGTTTATATTTTCAAACAACTATATTCACCAGACAACTGTCAATCTGCGTATCAAATAAAGAAGGAGAAGAAGAAAAAAAGAACGCTAATCACTTTTACCGTTTTTCTTCATACTATTTTTGCATATATGTATCAGCTGTAGAATTTCTAAAGAATAATTTATGAACAAAAAATTCTATATATACATCGAAATAAATCAAGTTTTTATCTATCATATATCATTGTAAGAAATAGTGATAATATCAACTATAAACTCAATTACACGATAATGATCTATGATGAGTGAAAGTAAAATAAGGTGTTCTTTCTATTTGAGTATAGGCCTCTTTTTTTTTCTTTTTATTTAACCTGAAACTAAAAAATTCATTTGTCATATTTATATATATCGACTTCTGGTGCCATATCGATTAATCTTCCGTTTATGCTCTATTGCACACTTTGACAGACGAATAAAGTGAATCAAACCCTTGAGAATTCATTTCAATAATGATGTAATGTATGCGTTCAATTCTGAATAACCTTGATGAATTTTTTTTCGTCGTTTCATTAGCAAAAAATACACTCGTTACAAATATGATTTACGACTAAAATAAAAAGATGAATATTTTTCTATTTATAATTAAGGACATCATTTCTTGTTATGACTATAACTTCGTTCATTTAAATAACAAAAGAACAAGGCGTGGAAATCATGTAATTACGATCTGTCTGTTGCTTCTTTTATTTTGTTGTCGTACTCAATAAGTAAATCAAAGGAATACATATTCATGAATGAGATACATATAAATATTTTGTTAGTCTCTTTCTGAATAAATAAAAGTGTTAGAAATGACACAAGATCTAAATCTGATGATCATGATTGAACACAATTTTAAGCTGTCTATACAAATTCATAGTTGACAAATGATCCCATTGTAAACGATATAATGTATTTATACAAAAAAAAAACGAACTTTTTATTTGTGGATATAATACTCCAATAAAAAAAATATGATGATACTCTATATTTACTTTTTTACTCATATATACCATAAAGATAAGAAAATTTTGTCATTCTAACATATAATTATGAAAATATTCTAAATCGATTTTTTCGTAAAATAAATGAAAAACTTTACATATGAAAATAGTCAATTATCTTCATCAGATATTGATGAACTTATTCAACGTTTTGATAAATCAAATGTCGTTCAAGCATTAATACTTATGGGTAGTTATGCTCGTAATGAAGCAGGTCCTCATAGTGATATTGATCTTGTACGTTTTGTAATTGCGGGAACGAAATTATCTGATGATGGAACACATTTATTTAAGAAAAAAGTACTTATTACTATATGTACAGTTGAACCAATTGATTATGAAAAATGGTTTACTGATCCTTATGAAGCGACAAAATGGATTGCTGGCTTAAGAATAGCACGTGTATTGATTGATCGAGAAAATTTTTTTACAGATAGGTTACAAAGACGTGCTCATAATTTTGTTTGGGATGCAACAATGCAATTACATGCTAATATTGAAGCTAGTCGTCGTATGGTTGGTTGGTGTGAAGAAACAAATAAAGGTTTAGAAGGTCTTCGTCGTAATTATGATATAGGTCGATTACTCAATGCGTGTCATGGATTATCATGGGGTTTATCAGAAGTTATACAAATCCATCGTGGTATATTAATATCGAGTGATAATAACTTTTTCAATGAAATAGAATCAGTATTAGATGATAATAAACGAATGATTGAACTTCGTCGTATTACATTTGGTGTTATAGGATCATATACATTACGTCAACGTGTCATTGCAGGCTTACATTTCTTTGTATTACTTGCTAAACAGATGTCTAATGTTTGGCAAACTACTGATGTTGAAATTATTGAACATACTGTTCAACATATAAATCTCAATGTTCCAAATTTAGTTTCAGAAAATATATTATGTGAATAAATATATATTGATAAAAAGGAAATAGATAGACTATGTTAATAAGAAACTTTTCATATTCTATTTTTAGTTTAGAAAATATTCGAAGAAAAAGAAGATATATCTACATAGTTTGTTAATAACTTTATTTGATTATAAATTCATTGAAGAATTGTAAAAAAAAACGACTCATTTAAATTAATTTATAGAGTGATGCGAAAAGAAAAATCTTATGATAATTGTTTAGTAAAATTATTTCATCGTCATAGTAGAATTTCTTTCTTTATATAATATCGATGGTACATGTAGAAATTAAACAAGATGTTATTTCATCTCTCCCGATGTAAGAAATCATTAATATAAAATATATTTGCCGAACTAATTGTCAAATGTTTGATAATTGACGATCGTGTCATTAGGGATTCTACTAGTTTTTTTTTCATGATGAGAAAATAAAGTAGAAGTTAATATTTGAGAAAACATCATCGATCAGCCGGGTTTTATTTTTTATTAAATATTCTATCGTAAGAAAAAATTTGTCCTAACTTTTTTTTTACTTCGGAATTATTTTAATATATACATTAAATGGTTAGTCGTGCGTTAAAGACATAGTAGTACGATTAAGTTCCAGGAGTTTAATGAAAAAATATATGTTTGACGTTTATTGTTATGGATAGCCTAGATAATAATAATTGTACATAATGAGACAGGCGATGTTTTTTTCTTTTGCACTCGATCTCGATTTTTTTCTGTATGGATATTCGACTTGTTTTCTTTAAGTCAATTCTCAAGCAGATGTTAGTTTAATATTTTATCAAAGTTCTTTTTTTTCTTCTTTTGTATATTTATAATTTATCATTCATAAAAAAAACTTTTATTGACTGCCGTTCTTTTCTCAAAGAAACTCTGATGAACAAATAGAATGTGTTTTTCACCTAGTATTTTAATCAATCAATCATTTGATTTGATTCCGTGTCAACCGGTTTAATGTTCAGTGTAAACTTGTCTTTTTTTTCTTGTGTCTACGGTCATATTTGAAAAAAAACACACACACACGTACACTTTCGATGAAGATTGATCTTCATTATTACTTTAACTAAGAAAGAAATATACAATGAAACATAGATAGTCTTTTTTTTTGCGGAATATTTACTATTTATATTAAATAAATTTAATGATGTTGATAAAAATAATAATTTTATATATTTGCTGTTGAGATTTTCTTATCAAATCAGTTAAATAATACAGTGTGTTCATATATGCGTAAATAATCTAAACGAAGTAGACGAGAAAAAATATTTTAAAAAAAAGTAAAGGAAATGATTTAAACGAGATAAATATCGCCACACGGTTTTATCCATTGTCAATGACAATATTCACTGCACACATATATTAGAGACAAAAGAAGAAAAAAAAGAAAGCGTTCAACTAAGAAAGAAGCGCCTTGAAAGCAGAAACATCCTGTTAGCGTTCGCTTATAAATGGCAAAGATAGGCGAATGTCTTTATACTTACCTACACATTCTTAGTTTAGAATGATGACTTTATTTCTTTTACTCTCGTCCTTGTTTTTTCATTAACGTCGCCTATTGTCGTCATCATCTCTCGCTCTTTTTTTTCCAACTTGAGATAATAAATCTTTGATTATAAAAAGTAAAATAAAAATAGGATGTTATATAGAAGAAACAGACAAGAAAAGTTAGTTTGTATATTCAGCAATAAATCTAGATTAATAAGCATAATTGAATTGTAATAAATTGACATAGCCATAACGTCAGTCAACAACAGCAGCTAAGAAGAAGCCTCTGTCTATTTTTTTTTTACAAATGATGTCTATATTCATCATCAATGTTAACCATATTTTAATAACGCAGGTAAAGTTGTCATCTTACAGAAGACTTATATCTAACTAGAAGCTAAAAAAAATGTTACATTCATTTCATATCTTGGAAGCAAAATAATATTCATTATGATTATTATTATCATCATCAGATAATAAGTCACTGTTGATCTGGACGAATTAAAGTCATGACGCATTTACAACACACATAACGAGATAAAAACGGAAGCAAAAAAAAGAAGCTTCTAACGTGACTTAAACTTTTTTTTTTCTTTTTGTAAAATACAGATTGTAGAACTGGAAAAAACCTAATAATATCTCGGTGTAATGCTTCTATTGAAAAATAGAAATTGATTGTTTTCAAGGTTGAAAATTATAGGGAAATGATTGTTTGCATTTTATATTTGTATTTTTCAAACAAATATTGATCTTTGTTATAAAAAATAAAAATTGATATTCTTGAACATGAAGACGAAAATTTCAAAAAAAATTATCTAATGTTTTTTCTTCTTCTTCAAAGATCAATGTCTGCTTGTATGAACAAGATTATTAAAGGTGTACCATCGTTGTCACTAATATTATTTGTAACAACGAGTGAACACCGATGCATCTATTACCATTACAAGGTCAAGTAAGTTATACAGAGAAAAAAACAGGAGAAAATCTATGAAATAGAATTAAATGTATTTCAGTTATATAAATACAAATTTTCCTTTGAGTAAAATAAATCTTCCTTTTAGTTTTATTTCTTCGTCGTCTTCTTCTTCTGCTGCTTTTTTTTACACTTTTTTTATTCTCTTTCCGTCTATGGTTTTGTTGGTTAGCCCTTCTCGGTTTTCTCTTGTTACTATACCTTTTTCCTCTTCTTCTGCTTCTTTCTAACTTGATAGAGTAAAAAGAGAGGGAGAGAGGGAGAGAAAGAGAAAGGGAGGTGCCTTTTTTTTAGCCTCGTGTTAATATTTCAGTCTTGATCTGTTGAAGAACTTGATCTTTGAAAAGTAGAATAGTCGTTTGAGTGTGAGATATTTCTTGATCGGATCATGACAAAGAAAGAGAAAAATAAATATTGAACAAAAACTTTTTCATCTTATGAATTAAACAGATTATATCTTCTCTTATTTGTATATATTAGTCAAGCGCTAGACCATTAATGCCCGGATCTCGACGTGGTCTAGTTGCACCACAAAATACATTTCTTGAATCAATCATCCGCAAATGCAGTGGTGCCCGTAAGTATTGTTTACTTAACTCTTATTTATTTAAGACACAAAAAAAACATCCGAGAATTTGATAAAAGAATATTCAATTAGATTTATCTAAAGGAGAAGAAAAAAAAAGTTAATTTTTCTATTCTTATTTTTAAACTTCAATATCATTTTGTTATACATGATTTATCCATTATACAGTTTATTAAAATTTTAAAATGTGCACTCATATGAAACATTTTGATTAGAAGTTCTTTTTTCATCTTGACTCTTGTTCTTTTTTTATATTCTATTTAATATAAATATAAATATATGTTCAAGAGAGATATGAGTGCTATAGTTTAATTATATTTACTTTTACTTTTTTACATATCAATAATTTCCCAATACACATAAACATAAAATGAGGTAGTCAAATATCGAATATTTTCTTTTTCAATGACAAATAAAATGATCCATAGGGAAATACAAAGAACATGCATATGCGCTGTCATTCGTTTGTTCGTTTATAACACATTCATATTGAAAATATCCATATGTGTCTTATCAACTAATAGAATGTAGATTCAAAATGTCAATGTATTCAACACCTGTTGAAAAATTAATAACAAAAAAAAAAGAAATCAATTAAAAAAAAATGAAAATAAGTAGACTTCCATTAGTGCTAGTTTACCTTAGATTTCCGGTCGAATGAACAAGACTCTCATTATCATTTAAAGAACATCAGTATAAGGATATGATAGAGATCGCGTGTGCAACGTGACACATCAGTAGTCATAGAACAAATCAGCAGGAAGCAGGATGTTATTTAGTTTTAAAATGGCTTAGACACGTACATCTAGTAGATAATCATATATGAAGAAGAAAAAAAAGAAGAAGAAAAATGTCCTTGAATGATATAGAAATATGAACATATAAAAATATCTTTAGACAATGCATTTATTTTATCAAATGCACAAATAGTCGATTATCCAATTGTTTATTCAAATGATGGCTTTACAAAATTATCAGGTTGTTTAAGAACAGATTTAATGAATAAAAGTTCAACATGTAATTTTATGTATGGTGAATTAACCAATGCTGAAACACAAACAAAAATACGTGATGCATTGGAAAATTGTCATATTGAACAAGTTGAAGTACTTTTATATAAGAAAAATAGTACAAAAAATACAACAATTCGAAATTTTTTTATATACATGTCTTTTTTTTTGTGTCTAGAAACACCTATATGGGTTTTTATGCAAATAGCTCCAATTACAAATGAACGTGATACTGTGGTACTTTATCTATGTACATTTACAGATATTACAGCACTTAAACAACCAATTGAAACTGATGAGACTAAAACTGGATTTAGTAAATTTGCAAGAATTGCAAAATCGGTAACAAGAAATCGATCGATTTTAATGAATTTTGCTGCACCAAATACCAAATCGATTAGTATTGATCCAACAAAACCATCACAATTACCAAATGTATGTTTTGATATAAAGTATTACTTATAAAACTCAGCATATTTATTCTTTGTACTTGATTAGCAAGAGAAGTCAAATATTTCCGAGTGAGATTAAAAAGGATACGCTTGATCTAACCTATAAGATTTATGTGCAAAAATTTTTGATTTTATTATCATTATGTAATAGTGACCTTCGGTACTTCTTTAGGAAAGTATGTCATCGAAGCCTAAAAATAGACTAATATAATTTTCAGCTTTAAAAGTATGATAATATCAGTCACTTATGATTTGAAAAATGCAGCTTATAATTGATTTGTCCTTGAGAATGAGGTCTGTCAGTTGAAAAATTAAACATGAAAATAGGTACATTCTTATTGATATTGTCATTAAGCGGAATTCTTTATCATCATAGAGGGTACTTGATTTCAAACTCGAGAGTAGTACTTGAAAGTCAAGTCATTTTACGGTTTTCTGTTGTTTTCTAGAAGAAACATCGACCAATCATTTGTTGTTTTTGTTTTTTTCATTTTTAGTTACTCAATCTTAGTGCTGAAGTCTTACCAGTAAGTAATCTATTTGTTTGTATATAAACGAAAACTAATTCTATTTGTGTTTCTAGAGTTATCGACAAGAAGCACCAAGTACTCCACCTCATATAATTCTTCATTATTGTACATTTAAAACAGTTTGGGATTGGGTGATACTTTTATTAACATTTTATACATCATTATTAGTACCGTATCATGCAGCATTTAAAAGTAAATCATTGGATGATGTGCCTTTACTTGTTATCGATAGTATTGTTGATGTTATTTTCTTTATTGATATAATATTAAATTTTCATACAACATATGTACACACAAGTAAAATTTAATAAAACAAAACTTTTTTTTTTAATTTCTCTTTTTCTAAAGAATCTGGAGAAGTTATATCAGATCCAAAACGTATTAGAAAAACATATTTAAAAAGTTGGTTTGTTATTGATTTATTAGCATGTTTACCATACGATGTATTTAATGCATTTCAAGAAGCTGAAGAAGTAAATTTTTTTTAAATGAAAAAAAAAATTCATCGTTTTTTTTCCTTTTGTTTTCTTTTCTTTTTTCTGATTGATATCTTTCAGCGATATGGAAGTATATTTTCTGCATTGAAAGTTTTACGTTTATTACGTCTTGGTCGTGTATTTAGAAAATTAGATAATTATTTAGAATATGGTGCGGCTGTTCTTTTATTACTTATTTGTGTTTTTGTACTTGTTGCTCATTGGTATGAATAATAAAGTATGGAAATAAAATTTTCACATATTATTTTTTTTCATATAGGTTTGCTTGTGTATGGTATACAATTGGATTTCAGGAAGGACGAGGTGGTCCAGGAAAACGGGTATGAAAAATATTCGAATGATCTAAACTAAACATGTTTGAAGGAAGCCTTATAAAATTCGTGATTATAATATTAAAATGCCTTAATCCGGATCAGACGGTAGAGGAAAGTACTTTTGCAGTGCTCTCTGATTATAATGTTAAGATTCTTTCATAATTTTTTATAGACATTCAACAATAGAATTTTTTTACGGTTATATTATTTAATAGCTTTAGCGTTCTTTTTATTAAGAAAAACATAAAACGTTCTTGACATTTTTATGTTTATATTTAACTATAGATACAAATTAATTTAAGCACAACTTTTTTTCCTCTCCATAGAACGTATTAATAACTACCGCAACGTGAATCATTACTGAAAGAAATAGCTATTTTCAATCTACAATCCGAATATCCTTGAGTTTTTTTTTTTTTGATGATAAACATTTTTATTCCCTAGACAAATATCAGGTTAGGAAATTCATGAATATAATTTAAATATTGTTTTATTAAAATAGATGGAATATAGTTGGCTAGTAAAAATGGATAGAGAATTACAATTTGCATGTATTGATTCCTATGGTAATCTAACAGCATATGAATCGAATGGTACATGTCGAAAAGCAGCATATGTAACAGCCCTTTACTATACAATGAGTTCATTGACTAGTATTGGTTTTGGTAATGTTGCTGCAAATAGTGATAATGAGAAAATTTTTACATGTGTTATGATGCTTATTGGTTCATTACTTTATGCAACTATATTTGGTAATGTAACCACAATATTTACACAAATGTATTCAGCTACTGCTCGTTATCATGATATGTTAAGTAGGTATGTAATTAAGATGAAAATGTTTGGGTTTTTTTTTCTAATTTTGTTTTTGTAAGTATTCGAGAATTTATGCGTTTGCATGGTATGCCTAATCAATTAAATGAACGTATTATGGATTATGTTGTATCAACATGGGCTATGACAAAAGGAATTGATGCAACAAAAGTATTAAATTATTGTCCAAAAGATATGCGTGCTGATATTTGTGTTCATATGAATCGAAGTGTATTTAATGAACATCCAGCATTTCGTTTAGCTAGTGATGGTTGTTTACGTGCATTAGCTGTTCATTTTCATATAAATCATTCTGCACCTGGTGATATGCTATATCATTGTGGTGAAAGTCTTGATATGCTCTGTTTTATTGTATCTGGTTCATTAGAAGTTATACAAGATGATGAAGTTTTAGCAATACTTAGTAAGACAATTATTTTTTTTTGGGTGTTAAAATAATTTTTGTTTTTCCTCTAGGTCCTAATGATGTATTTGGTGATGATTTTTGGAGTAAAAATCGTGATAGTGTTGGTCAATCAGCAGCTAATGTTCGTGCATTAACATATTGTAATATACATCAAATTCGACGTGAACGTTTACTCGAAGTATTAGATTTTTATCATCCATTTAGTATATCATTTGCTCGAAATATGGTGCTGACATATAATCTAAGACATCGAGTATATTATTTAAAAAAAAATTTAGATTTTATTCTTAATAAATAATTTCTTTTCGTTTTTCAATTTAGGTAATTTTTCGTAAAATTGCTGATGTTAAACGTGAACGTGAATTAGCTGAAATAAGAAAAAATGAAGGTTTAGATCAATTAGGTTCTGATCATCCAGTAAGAAAATTAATATCAAAATTTCGTAAAATTTCACAAGAAAATCGTGCTGCAACACAAACAAATCCAGCTACACAAACACCTCCACAAACAACAGGTAATTCACCAGCACAACCAACAAAACCGCCACTAATAATGCAAGCAGCAGTACAATCACTAACTACTGATTCAACTGATTCGTCACCAACAGTACCAATCAATTTATCCTTAGCTCAACATTTACAGTTACCTTTACCATTAATTGCTAAAACTCGAGATAATAAACTTGAAACAATTTCTGAACGTATTGAAACTCAAGAATCACAAGTATCTCAAATAACATCAGTTCATCAAAGTCCACCATTACAAAGTGCACCGAAATCTAGTAAATGGAAATGGTTAAAAACAGGATCAAATGGAACAGAAGTAGATTCATCACCGAAAAAAACTGTTCCTGATAATAAACCATTACAACAATCAACCAATCCATTTGATTCAAATCTAACTGATGATGATATACGAGGACAAACAATAGATGGAAATGAAAATCGACTATCTATTCCACTCAGTTTATTTATACCAAGATCAGCACATCGTGATAGTATAAAAATATTAGACGAGGGATCAAATAATCAAGTAAGATATTAATAATTTGAAAAAAAAGACGTTTTAATTGAATTTTTTTCGTCTTTCCATTTATAATTAGAAACAATTGGATGATTCTCATTCTGATATCAATGCAGCATTTGGACCACGTCGTAGTATATCATCATCTCCATATAGTGATCATCACTTATTATCATCATTAATTGAAATAAAAAATGATTTAAGTGCTGAAGTACGAGTATTAACTCGACGTATGACACATATTGACGAACAAATTAGTCAGATTTTTAATATTCTTTCACCACTTCATTCATCCGTAGTAAGTAATCCTGCACCAGCAATATCAAATATAACTCAATCGTCATCACCACAACCACTACTATCGCGAATTTCTTCTCAATCTTCTCCAATTCGACCATCAGTATTATTACTAACTACTACGACTTCTTCTGCTACTAACTATACTGATGCCAAAAGTTCACCAGTTTTTGAAGCGCCATCATTCTATTCAGATATAAGTGCCAAAACACAATTCTTTGATGCCAATCAATCTTCATCAAGCATAAGTGATATACAAGATGTTTCTCTAAAATCAAAAACGAATGATCAATCGCTAACAAAACAAACTAGCGATACTGATTCAATTGTTTTATCTATTCCACCACCACCATCTATTATCAATCGTTCAGCTAATGCACCATTTATTAGTTTAGGTATATCGGCAACACCTCGTGGATCAGTATCAAATAAAATAGCTCCGGCAGCAATATCATCATCATCATTATCATCGGTTGATGCTAAACAAACATTCAGTGCTAGTTTTCGACCAATTTCGAATACACGTTACAATCCAGGTCGTTCTCCTAAACTAAAAACTCGTTCACAACAAAGTCGATCTACTATGAAGCATCAACAACAACAACCTGTGCAATCAACAATTGTTGAACTTGAACCACCTATACAAAAAGATACAACAGATAAGAGCGTACCTCTTCTATCGATGTCTTCATCGACAACAGCAACAACAACAAAATCGGGTAGTTATGGATTTCGTCGTTTCATGTTAGGTGGTAGTAGTACAGACAAAGCAACAACATCATCATCGACACTTCTCTACCCACCTACCAGTGATGATGATCATCCCATGAGTCCTAATAGTTCAGGCAATGATGATGATGATTATCGACCATTAACATCATCATCAAATAGACATCATCGTCATACGCCTCTCTGATATTGCAGTATGATTTTTGTTTTGTTTTATTTTGGTCTTCTTCTTCTCATGGCTTCATCTCAGATAGGTGAATCGATGTATTATATTTTTGGTATTGTGATACAAATGTTCTCTCTTGAACTGTTTTTCTACCTCGATTTTGTACACGTTCACCGGTGCATATTTTTCTTTTGTTTGTTTTTCTCTACATGTGTAATATGTATTAATTATTTAAGTCTAATACAAACAAATTTCTTCTAGTCACAAATGCCTCAGATTTTCACCAAGATGAGCAATGTTTGTTTTGATGGCAATACTTTTTTCAATAAAAACTATAATACGTATGTACTTGACGAAACATTATCGTATTTCTTGTGATTCTGAATTTATTTGTAAAAATAAGATTGATGAATACGTATGTGAAATATTCGCATACCTGTGTACGGATAAGTGAATACAATATCTAAAGAACAAAGAAGAGAAAATAAGTGCGGATGTATCAGTTTGTAAGAATGGAAAAGTAACATAAAAGTCATTCATATTCATGTTCTTGTCCAAAGACGATGACATTGAGAACGTATAAGTCGATAGATCATTTCAGCAAGTTCCATCAATGAAAGAAAACTAATACCAATCCAAAGACCGGTTTGTCCACCAACATTAGAAATCACATCAACTGGAGCCATTGTTGGTTGTTGTGAATAAACTTCTGTTCGAGTTGTTTCATAGGCAACTTCTAAAGAAACAAAACTGGATTGAATCTCAGACACATAGGATGTATTCCAGTCTTTAGGTAATGGAACTTGTGATGATTCAACAAATTGTTTAATACCATCTCTCATGTAGGAAGGTGGTGCTAAGACTGAAGTTGATTGAATAATAAACTCAGAATATGTACACTCTAGTGTACAATCAGGACAAAACGTAGTCCAAATACTTTCTGTGTTCATAATTTCTATTCCTGCTGCACCATAACATGGATTATCAAAATCACAAAGTTGTATATTAATTGATGTGTTAGTATTAGGAAGTACAACTACACGATTATTCCAGCGATAAGGATTTCCACAGCCACATTTTTTGTAACTAAAATACATTACGCATTCATATGAAATTATAAAATATCATATACTTACGTATATGCTTGTATACAAGCAAAATAACATGGAAATTGTGCATATCCATAATCAGCATCATGATATTGATCAAACATTGCTTGCATTCCAAGATTAGCTTTATCGTTGCATGGTGTATAAGGTGCTGGTAAAAATAAACTAGTTTTTTTTGCATATCCTAATTTATGATGTTTTCCAGGACTAAGTAGCATTGCTGTCAGCTCAATAATGGGCATCTGTACATTGTCATGAACTAATGCTACCATACCAATGCCTATATATAAAGATAACATAATTATTACAATACATGATAACGAAATTATAATATTATACTTACCATTTGATAAATATGGTACATATTGATTTTGATGTACATAGAAACTTAATTCAAGGAGACCATTAGCTCCATTATCAGCATTGTATTTTATACCAGCTTGACCCGTAGATTTTAATAGAGCATTGAATGTATAACAGAGACCATAGAGTGGTGATATAAACCAAGTAAAATTAGTTGTCGAACATGGCATGTTATTATAATTACAAGACATCATCATTGATTCAAGTGAATAAAAATAATCATTTAAAGATTCATTTTGATTGAGTTTATAAAGTAGAAATTCTTGAATATAGGAAGCTTGTGTCGTAGTGAAAATAGTTGTATTAGTTGTATTTGTTATATTACGTGCATTTGTGTAGTTTAAAAAAGGACTTATAAATCGATCATATCGTAATGGAGAATAATTACAAATTGTTACTGCAGGAAAAGCTTGAGGCCATTCAACAATAACTGTTACAGACGTTTGTGTTGAATATTGAAAATATGCAATAATTGCTTCAGTAACAAAATATATCATTGCACCAAGAAAAACTACTGATGATAGAATCCAAAATACACGATTATGAATACTATGACTACGAGCAATACTTGGTACACCATGTGCTGTTGTGTTCAAACTGAATTCTTTAATAACTGAACCAGCTCGTTCACGTTTTTTATTTGACGCTGATGGTTCAGAAGCTGTCGACCAGGCGTTTGTTATAGGATTCACTGTTTCATGTATTTTATTCATTTTAACAGTCCGATAATTATTTTTTGGAATATTTATCTAAGAAAAAACTAACGTATACTCTGATGTGTTTGCGATTTTATCGACGCAGGATAGAAATGTAAGAAAGTAGGACACTATTGAAAAAAAACTACCTCTATATAACTCAATACCTTTATGAATTATACTTCTATGCTGATTGAAATATGAATAGAAGTAATCGATTCCAGCTGTACGTTGAATAACTATATGGATACTATTTGAAATGCGCTTTGTTTTCGTATCAAAGAATGAAGATTTAATATATTCTAGAGCAAATATTATTTTTCGATTTAAGTCTCTGTGTAAATACAGGATGGTCAAAAATAATAGTGTCATAAGAAACTTGAATATCGTCACTTCAGTTCGATTGAATGAACTGATTTTTTGAGGATCGATGACACTTTATTCAAAGTTTTTTTTTTCATATGAACCACGTAAGTTGACTTGATGAAAGAAATTTAAATAGTTGCTAATTAAGAAAATTCGAAAATTGTTTTATTGGCTAAGAACTTACTGATTTGATATTCTTAAATAACAATTGAAAACTATCTAGTAATATTTACTTACATGATTTATACGAAAAAAAAAAACTTTGAGTAAAGTTCTACCAATAATCAACACATAAGTTTATTCAACCGAACTGAAGTAATGATATTAAAGTTTCGTATTGCACTATTATTTATGACCCACCCTGTATGTCAATAAGAAAATGGTTTGAAGTGTTAGTTGCCAACAACTATTTTTTTCTTACACCTATAGTATTACATACCTAAATAAATATGACAGTGCAAATTGTTTAAAATAGCTTGATTTTTTTGAATTTTTCTATAGAAAAAAATGAGTTGAGGATTGCATGATACACATCTTTTATAGTAAAAAAAATAGTACTATGGAAATTCACAATTTTTTTAATATTTAGCAACGTATTGTTGAAGCAAGCAATCTATATAATTAACAACTTTCCTAAATTGAATAACAGAAAAATAAAATATTTCATTTCCGTTCTATTCAGCAATAATAAAAAAATATTCATTTCTTTTTTTTCCTGTGAACGAGAGGTGACAGTTTTTTTCTACTTCTTTAATTGCTACAACTCATTATTTACACTTGAATTCGAGAATTTGAATTTATTTTAAAAGAAAAATATTAATCTTATCCATCTCATAGTTTAACTGGACTTGCTCTTTTTTTTCTTTGAATCGGAATATGGAGGCATCGAACGATTGATAAAATTTTAATTACTAATTTTTTATTTTTTCATTATGGGAACATTCAGTGATCGGTTGATTTCTTGTTGACTAGTAAAATAGAGATTTTTTTGCTATTGAAATCACGAGAATATGAAAAATGTAGGTCATATTGTTATGATTAGGAAATTTGTTTTTGACTCGCACTGTGTGTATAATTTACACAATCAATATCGAGAAGAACTTGAAAAACGAAAATATACTTAATAAAAATCGCTAATCTGTTGATTCATGATATGAAAAAAACGACGTATTCATCACTACAAGCTGATGTCAACAATCTAGCGATTTGTGTTAAATCCGAACTATTTTCGGATACTTTTTTCATACAGTTATTCTTTTTCGCACATCTCAACTAGAGTAGATGGAAAAGAGAACTGCGTAGACTGGACAATCCGTATTGTATCTCGTATGCTGAGACAGTTTGTCGAGAATGTATTTCATATTGGATTCTAATTAAAATATTCACAAGGTGAACAACTCAATTAGCTAAATATATCTTAACTACACTTTTTTTTCTTTAAACCCAACTCTTCATAGTAATAAACACGCTATATAATGATGAGTCATAGAATACTTTTCAACTGTCCTCACGAAATATTCGTTGCATAAGAATCATGCTGAATAAACGTGTTGTAATTTCGAAACGAATCTATTATTATCTTTCATTTGAAAAAAAAATGAAATGTGTGTGGACAGAGTGAGAATAAAGAGCTTGAATTTGACTGCTTAGTTATCGCTTCTCGGCCTTTTAGGCTAAGATCAAAGTGTAATATCTGTTCTCGTCGGTTTGAAAGCCGGCGCTGATCTCATTGAGATCAGGCTCTTTCAAGCGGATTTTTGGACATCGGCTAGGAGCATTCGAGTTCGCTTAGACCTATGCCGCGGATCATCTCGACACTGCAGTGCCGTTGAGTTTGGTCTACTCCCGTTTCCTTCGGGATACGGGAACCACATTATAAGTTAAAAAAATGATAATGAAAAATATATGATTTATATTTGAGGATATGAGTAAAGGTTTGAGTATTGTTTGTATTAATGATCGCACATACTCAAATTAAACGATATTTTCGTATACATAAAAAGATACAAAACGTATAGAGAATGAATTTTTAATGCTTTATAACAAAATAATGTTGACATATTAAGAATGAAAAGCAAATTTTTATTGTTAAAAGATAAACACATGTGTCTGACAAAATATGTAAAGAATGAGAATGTAATACAAATAATATACCTATTGTAAATTATTTTTCGAAAAAGTGTTGCTCTGGCAGATTAATATTATCATTAATCCACGTGTTTTCTTCATCGCAACAGGATTTTGATCAATTATCTCTTGAAAACTTATTATAAGTAACTCTTCTCAAGAAATGTTAAAGACACAACATTTTCTTTGTACTTGCACTTTCTACTTTGTAATCATTCAAATATTGTATGACTTAAATGAATAGGGTTATATCAGTAATTATAATGCAATGAAATTCTACAAATGATTAAATTTTTCATAACATTTCAAAAAGACTCACTAATAACAATTAACGAAAGAATCAGATTTTCAAGATAAATTC